GAGAGAGAGTACAAATGAAAATTAAGGAAAAAAAGAGTGATAAAGGGTATTTATACCCAAAGCAAAATGGCACTGTTTTGGACCATACATGTGCGTTTTGGTATCTGGTGGTCAAATCATCTCTGCGGCCATCGCAAGCTTCATTATCTTCAATTTTGGTCACCAATTTCAATTTAATTCAGTTTATTTCAAAATTAATGTCCTCATTTCATTATTTCCCGTTTTTAGGTTTTAATACTAACTTTTGGTGTTATTTTCCTTTAGATCCTTCAATGTTTACCTTTTACAAAATAGTCCTCAATCTTTCGTTCATTTTTTAGATCTCAAAATTGATTTCCTCATCGAGGGATTTGCCCATGTTCTTCTGTTCTTTGAAATGCTAGGTTAAAATGGAAAACTATGTTATAGTCCTTCTACTTTATCCTTTTTTATATTTAAGTCACTAGATCCTTTTTTATTTGCTTTGATTTCGGTCTAATGTTTAGCGTTGTTTTAATTTAGTTTTATCAATACTCATTTATTAATTACATTATTATCACGTATATGGAAATAGGTTATAAACGTTAATACTATGCACTAAACAATTATATTATAGGATCTATAATTAAATAGAATTATGATAATTACATGGAATGTTATTTATTATAATATTTCTTTTATATGATTGTTTCCATATGTTTGCATTGTAATATATTGTATTTTTAGTCTTTTAGTGCTTTCCATCCGTATATTACTTCATAAATTGTTTTAAAGTTAATTGATCTTGTTTTATTTATTTTTGCACATTTTCTCTTAATTTGACGGTTAACACATCATATTAATTCCTTTCCTTAATTTAGTTTCCATTTAAGCATTTAGGATTTGGTTGATTCATGTTTATTTGGTTTCTTTCTCATTCATTGTTTATCTTATATTTGGCTAACTTTAATTTAGTTTAATTTTATTTTCTCCTTATCTTAATTAACCTTTTTCTTACTTCTTTGCATTGATTACGTTTTTATCATTTACTCGATTCATAAATTTGGTTTTTTTATTTTTATTTTAAATTATGATTACAAGTTTGCTTAATTTAGTGCTTTGATACTTGATTTTAGATGAAATCCTTCAGATTTAGGTTCTTTTTAATATAGTCCATAATCAGAGCCTTATATTCTAGATTTAAACCTATAAACTTAGATTTATCACACTTTAGTCCTTAAACTTTTAATTTAGGGAATAATTTGGGTTGGCTTCCGCATCTAATATTCCCGGAGGGTCATTTCGATTATTCAATTCAATAATTGGTCAAATAATTATTTATGATTAATATTAGAGCCTACATCTTAGGCCTAATTTCACATTTAGTCTTTAAATTACGAAAATTCTTAATTTGGTCATCGCTCTTGGTAAAGGTTCCAATTTAATTATTCAAATTGTATAATTGATTAAAAACGAATAGGGTAATGTTTAAATCCTCCATTTTAGTTCTAATTTAAACTTAGCCCTTTAATCTAGGAGAATTTTCTATTTGGTCTTCACTTATGCTTGAGGTTCCATTTTGGTTGTTCAATTCAATAATTTACCAAAAATGATTAAGATTAATATTAGAGCCTACACTTTGTAGGTTTAATACACTAGATTCTTTAATTCTTATAATTTGTCACTTTAGGTTAGGGGAATCCTTAATTAACTCACCTAGCATAATTAAGTATAATAAAAAGTTGTTTGCTTGCATTTGGATTTAAAATAGTAAAGCAATGTTGATTTTCCAAAGAGTTAATAGCGTATCCTCCGCATTATGCTCAGAGGGTGACTACTGGTGACTCCTAAAGTAGGTCGACATCCTTTTTGAAAACCCTGTCATGTTTCCAAAATTCCAGGGCAATGTTCGATTATTGGGCGTAATAATTGATCTCCTGTATTCATGCTAGGGGGTGAATATTATTGACTTAAATAATCAAATATCCTTTTCAACAGTGCATCCATAGTGAATTTTTGATTAAATAAAGTTTGAACTCAAACTTTCCAAATTTTAAAATAGGGTAATCAACTAGGTGCCAATTTCTGGGCGTAGTGTGGGTGTTATCCCTTCCCTACGCACAACCGACTCCCGAGCCTAATTTATGGATTTTTACAGACCTCAAAACTCAGTATTTTGGTAAAATAAAATATTTTATTAAAATCACCCAATTTTTATGGTGTGCAAATCGCACCTTCAATGGTTGTTCGTGACTCCTCACATTTCAAAATCTTTTCAAAAAAAACCCTATGTCGTTCTAGTTTTTTCCCACCCATGCAAAAAACGGTGACAACACAATGACTCATCGAATCAAACAAATGAGGGGTTAATGTGAATAATAGGTTGACTGGTAACATAATATCTACATATAATTGAATGAAAATGCAGAGAAAATTTGACAAAAAGAGATGACGCATCACACAAGAAGCGTTTTCACCTTTTTTAGATAATCTTTGTCATGTTATATTGTTTCATTTCATCAAATAGATGAGGGGTTGGTGTGAATAGGAGCCCAACTGGGAACATAATATATGCATATAATTGATTGAAAAATGCAGAAAAAATCTAAGAAAAAATGAAGATACATCCCAGAAGAAGTGATTTCACATATTTTTTAGAGAATCTCTTTCATGTCATATTGTCCCCGAAGAAGAGGTTTACGTGAATAATTCCTCGACTAAAAATATGATATACACATATAATTAACTAAAGAATGCTCTCAAACCCTCAAACTCTCAAACTCATCTCTTAAAAAATAGGTTGTATCTCTCAGATCATTATATCCCCTTAACCTTCCAGAGAAACATCACTCTTTAGGAGTTAATCAAAAAAATTCCATAAAATTTTTGTTGATAGTATTAGAAGATAACTTCATTTCAGTACAAATTTGCTATTGAACTTTTTCTATTGACATATACAACATTTTTGATCGAGCTCGTGCGATTACATAAATTTATGCCATATTTGTTGAGGTTTGTACGATTAATGATATGCCATTATGCTCTCACTATAGGTTGGCCCATCAAGTTGATCGAGTTTACAGCTCAACTCAAATAATCTATAATGATTTTAAGTCATTAATGGCAAATCCACCTCATGCTTATATGCCATCAAGTTCAAATGGGAGATATTCATCAGAAACTGCTTACGATCTCTACCTAGATTGCTTTACGAACAATCCATATGGCCAGTGGCAGATTTAGAAATTAAAAAATGGGGATCCAAAATGTTAGTACTCTATTCTAAAAAGAATTGGATATGAAATCCAATTATTTTTTTTCATTCTATTAACAAATTACTAAATTTAACATTTTTTCCAAAGTAATAGGTATGAAATAGCTCCCCTTTAGAACAACATTCATGTGCCCCTGCATATGGAAACATCCCTTCCAGTTCAAGGGGAAAGCATTCATCAGTCAACTTCTTTGATCTCAACATGGAAATGCCATCGACACAATAGTCTACTCAATACCCATATGGCATTATGCCTTCAAGTTCTAGGGGAGACATTTATCTACTAACTTCTTGGACCTTAATATGAAGATGCCTTCGACACAACAGTATGTTCAAAACTCATATGACATAATGCCTTCAAGTTCAAGGGGACCACATTCATCTATCATCTTATTTGACCTGAACATTGGACTGATAGATGAACCCTCATCCCACAAGAAAAACCTATTCATGAGCCAAGTGAAGATGGTGCTGAGACAACATTATTCATTGATCCTGAATCACCACAATTTAACATGGACTTTGATGATGATGTGGATGAAGTTTCCATAAATAAAACCAATCGAATATCAAACACATATGCATGAAGCTGACTATGATACAATGTACGAGCCAAAATTTTCGAATATGTATAATGTTGGAAACTGTGGATTTAACTCATCAATCAATGACGGTGAGTTATATATTGAAATGAAGTTCACATCCAAAGATGAAGCAATGATTGCAATTAAGAATTACAATATTCGTAATTTAGTTCACTATAGAGTCAATCGATCTACCACCGAAAAGTATGTTTACTACTGTGTCCAACGTGATAACGAATGTGTTGGGTAAATCGAATAGATAAAATAACCAAAAGGGATTTAGTTAATTGGTAAATAAAAATTTTGGTGGAAGTTTAAAGAGAAATTAGAAAAATGAACACAATAATTTAGAGCGGTTCGACTTTCTAAATGAAAGTCTACATCCACTACCTTAGCTATCTACACTAAAGATTTTCACAAATTCACTAATTTGTAGCAACCTTTGAGGATAAGGTGTAACCTTACAACTCTTTCAATAATTATATCCCAAATTATTGAGATACTCTCTCAAAGAGAAAACTAAAAATTGCAAACTTATAAAAACATCACTATAATAAAAAATAAGAACACTTGAGAAATAACAACAAATGAGTACAAAAGTGTTCTTTGAAAGCAAAAAGAAAGTTGACATGAATTTGGATTTAATTGATTGCTTTTTGGCTTTCTATTTGATCTCTTGGATTCACATATGACATTGAATATTGTTTTTATACTCCCTATATTAATTCTATCCATTTGGGTTGTTGTGGGAGTTAATAGTGTCGTTGGGAGGTAGTTTCCCACAATAAATGTTTCCTAGACGCTTGTAGTATATGTAATCAAGCTTTGGGTAGTGATACTCCCTACATTAAATACAAAAATATAGTCAATGGGAAGGAGAGTATCGATACTAGTATAAGTAGTATCGATACTGGACTAGTATCGATACCAGAAGAGTATACTTGATTTTTTTTCATTTTCAAAACCAAATGGGCAATATCGTCACTATAATGAGAACTATCAATACTACTGTTAAAAGTAGTGTCGGTATAAAAATAGCATTTTTTTTGTCAAACATACAAGTAGTATTGGTACTACTTTGTTATTTTAGGCTTTAGCATCGATATTGTATCAATGTTTCAGGAATAATATCGATATTGTTCTTGTAGTAATCGGTACTACTATGTTTAAAATCAGTTTTTGACTCAATTGAAGCTCGAAACTCTTAGGAAAATTATTTCAAAAATAATTTCAGTATATGACTCAATTTTTCAATAGAGTGAGAAGTAAAATAAAGTTTTTCAACTTAAAATATTTATGTATTCGAATGACCGAATCAAATATAATCTTAAAATTTATTAAAAATATTTATCATTTTTTTGCTATATCAAAATATCAATGTATTTTCAACAATCTATCCTTTTTTATATAATAAAATATTTAAGAAATTTTAAGATTTTCTTGAAATACTCCCCTTTTTGGTATATACATATGCATATTTTGTGTTATTTTTTTAAAGTCATTTTTATCACAACTTTTCAAAATGTCTAACAAATGTCCTCATTCCTCATCCTCTCGAGCCAATCCACCTCCAAATCCTCCTCCCATCCTAACCCACCTCCTAGTGAACAAACCATTTTGAACTCCTATTTCAATATATCAGTTTAGCACTTTGAGTCTTATCCTATTAAAGGTGAGTGTATTTCTTCCTTTCTCACTATGAACACCATCAATTTCAAATACCTTCCACTCCTTAAGGCTTGAAAGCTCGATAATACCTTTAAAGTTAAGCCCGTTGTTTATCACCAACTTGTCTATATTTTCTACTCTAATGTGATTTGTATGTAAAACAAAGCTAAACCCCATACCTAGAGTATCCACTCATATCTTTTGGGACAATACATAATCATTGATTCTGACACCATAGCCACTGCCCTTGGTATAGATAACCATGATATAGACAATGAAAAAAACTATGTTCATTCCATCTTAAAAGTAGGTTAAAATGCTAGTATCCTTGACTATCATGAGTCATTCTTGTATTTGATTATCTTTTAGTGATTTAGACCATCTAGAGGTAAATATTCTTCTCTCTAAAGTGCTGACATTTGGTGGCTTCACTGCTTCCAAACCAACAAAAGGATAACCTTTGTCCAAATTATTTTTGGTGAGTTAATTGACACCATTAGCAATGTCACTTCTAAGAGAATCGAGTCACAAGTCTATGGTTGTATTCAGAGTTATATCTTTTTCAAAAAGGGTTTCAAGGTAGAACTTGATTCAATTATCCCCCTAACCACCACTATTGATCTTAAATCTCTTCGTAAGTCATATTGGGAATAAGTTGGAAACTTGTGGCAAAAAAAGACAAAGGGCAACAAGGTGTAAGTTCTTCTAGAGCTGCTTCAACTCACTGTCAAGATGATGAAGTGATGTACGGCATTGATTATCGATGAATCATGTTCACCACCAGCTCAAGGAGGCTCATCGGGAACGTGGTTCACCACATCATCAATGTCATGCATCACGTCATCATCTTGAGGCTGAGTTGTAGTCACTCTAGAAGAACTCGCACCTTGATGCCCTTTGTTCTTTCTTTGTCGTGAATTTCCAACTTGTTCCCAACCTGACTTATGAAGAGATTTAAGATCAATACTTATGGTCAGGGGATAGATGAATCAAGTTCTACCTTGAGATCCACTTTGAAAAAGATATGACTCAGAATACAAATATAGACAAGTGACTTGATTCTCTTAAAAGGGACATTGTTAAAGGTGTCAACTAACTCACTAAAAATAATTTTGGCAATGTTTATTGTTTTGTTGTTTGTGAAGCCACCAAATGTCAACACTACAAAAAGAGGAATATTTACCACTGGATGGAATAAACCACCAAGAGATAATCAAATGCAAGAATCTCTCATTATGTCAAGGATATTAGCACTTTTGCCTACTTATAAGGTGGAAGGAACATAGTCTTTTTCATTGTCTATGCCAAGGGCAGTGGCTATGGTGTCAGAATCAATGATAATGTATTGCCCCAAAAGATAGGAGTGAATACTCTTGGTATGAGCTTTACCTTCATTTTGCATACAAACGGCATTAGAGTAGAAAATACAGACAAGTTGGTGATAAACAATGGGCTTAACTTTAAAGGTGTTATTGAGCTCCCAAACCTTAAGGAGGGGAATGTATTTGAAATTAATGGTGTTCATAACGGGAAAAGACATAATACACCCACCTCTAAAAGGATAGGCCTCAAAGTGCTGGATATACCTCTAATAAAGGTTCTAACGATTTGGATTATTGAAACGAAAGTTCATAATGGTCTGTTAACTAGGAGGTGGGTTAGGATTAGAAGGAGGACTCGGAGGTAGATTACCTCGAGAGGATGAGGAACAAGGATGTTTGTGAGACATTTTGAAAAGTCGGGATAAAAATAATCTGCAAAAGATAACACAAAATATGTATATACCAAAAAGGGGGTATTTCAAGAAAATCTTAAATTTTATTAAATGTTTTGTTATATCAAAAAAGGGGAGATTTTTTAACATACTTTAATATACCAAAAGATGATCAATATTTTTAATAAATTTTAAGATTGTATTTGATTCGGTCATTCAAATATATAATTTTTTAAGGTCAAAAACTATATTTTATTCCTCAATCTATTGAAAATTTGAGTCATATACATGAATTATTTTTTAAATAATTTTTTCCTAAAGGTTTCAAACTTTAATCGAGTCAAAAACTCATTTTAAGCATAGTAGTATTGATACTACAACAACAATATCGATATATGCTCATAAAATATTGGTACAATATCGATGCTAATGCTTAAAATAACATTATAGTACCGATAATGCATGTAGGTTTGACAAAAACTTAATATTATTTTACTATCGATACTACTTCAGTATTAATACTACTTTTAACAGTAATATCGATATGTCTCATTCTAGTATCGATATCGCCCTTTTGGTTTTGAAAATGTCAAAATACAATATATTGTTTTTGGTATCGATACTACTTATAACAGTAGTATCGATACTCTTTATACCAGTATTGATACTTTCCTTCCCAACTGTTATATTTTTATTTTGTATTTAATGCATGGAGTATCGATACCCAAAGCCCAAGTATCTATACTGCAAGTGCCTGGGCAGAATTTATTACGGGAAACTACCTCCCAAATTCTCTATTAACTCCCACAACAACCCAAATGGATAGAATTAATAGAGGGAGTATAAAAACAAGATTCCAAGTCATATGTGAAGACAAGAGATCAAAGACAAAGACAAAAAGTAATCAGTTAAAGCCAAATTCAAGTCAATGTTCTTTTTGCTTTTAAAGAACATTTTTGTACTCATTTGTTTTTTTTCTCAAGTGTTCTTGAATTATGCAAACACATTCCTAGTGAGGTTTTTATAAGTTTGCAATTTGTATTTTTCTCTTTACGAAAGTGTCTCAAGAATTTGGGTTATAATTCTTGAGGGAGTTTTAACATTACACCTTATCCTCAAAGGTTGCTACAAATTAGTGAATTTGTGAAACATTTTAGTGTGGATAGCTAAGGTATTAGAAGACTTTGGTTTAAAAAGTTGAATCACTCTAAATTCTTGTGTTCATTTTTCTAATTTCTCTTTGAGCTTCTACTAAAACTTTTATTTGCCAATTCACCCTCTCTTGGCTATTTTATCCATTCGATTGACTCAACAAGATGCAACTGGATTGTTTGTGTATCAAAGAGGAAGAATAACATATGAGAACTAACAAGATACAACAGTCCTCATACATGTTGTGTAAGAGGGATCAACCAAGACCATCTAAACTTGGACTATAACATTATTTGCCAAGCCATCATGCCCATGGTCAAAGGAAGCACACACATAACTATTGCAACGCTGATTTCTGCTATACAATTATAATATGGGTACATCGTCTACTACAAAATTGCATGGAATGAAAAACAGAATACCATTGTAAAACTTCACGGCGAGTGAGATTTATATTACAATGAGCTCAAAACTCGCCATGCGTACGAGAATGATCGAGGGGTTCGAGATTGATGTAAATTATATCGTGTTTTTTGGACTTACTCACAGTGCATTAGTGCGGTGAAATACTGCAAATCGATGGTCTAAATTGATGATACATTCTTATATGAAAAATACAAGCAAGTTTTATTATTGGTAATTGTCAAGATGTTAACCATAACTTTCTTCTCGTTGCATTTGCCTTTTATGAAGGAGAATATACAAAGTCTTGGGCTTTTTTCTTGAAAATTTTACGGTTACATGTTGTCAGGAGGGAACGCATTTGCATCTTTTCAGACCAAGGAACTGGGTTTAAAGCAGTAATTGACTCTTTATGTCCAATGTGGAAACCCCTTCGTGTCCAACATTGTTACAGTATCCGACATATTGCTACAAACTACCATGAAAAATATAAGAAGAATGATGAACGCCAATTAATCATACTCATGGGCATGTTATTTTTTTCAATCTCATTTCTCAGTCATTTTCATTTTTTTATTTATAGTTCACACTAACTATTACATATAGCTTAGGTTATGAAATCTTACCTCAAAGGTTTGAATTTATTCTATAAGAATTGCTAGGAAAAAATAAAAAGGGCTACAAGTATATTTGAGACATCAAAAAAGGAAATATGAACAAATGCATACGATGGGGGCATTGATATGGTCATATGATAACCAACTTGGTTGAGTCTATCAATTCAACCTTAAAGGGTGTGTGTCATTTAAAAATCAATATTTTGGTCAAAAAACGTATTTTCGTTTGGGTAAGCATTTGTGAAACTTAGGTGACAATCTCTTACTTGGATGCAAAACAACCATTTTTATCATCCAAGATTAGTAGCTGATCTACAGAAAAAGTTGCAGCATCAAATGGGATATTAGTAACTGTCGACACCGTTTTTCGCCATGACATGGAAAGTCCAGTGCCAACTTGGGGAGTTTTCTTTGAAAATAATATTGAAATATGAGGAGTCGTCACTAATCGTTCAAGGAGCGATTGGGACACCATAAAAATCATGTGATTTTAATAAATTTTTTATTTTTATCAAAACACCAAGTTTTAAGGAATGCAAAAATCCAAAAATTAGGTTAAGGAGTCCGTTACGCATGGGGAAGGATTTGCACCCCCACAAGCGCCCAAAATTTGGTACCTAGTTTATTACCCTATATTTAAAATCAGAA